GAAATTTAACCAGAAACACAGGTAATATTTCACTGTCTGAGTTTGATTTTTCATGTTTTGAGTTGGATTTTTTATCAAATTTTGCTTCTGCTGTTGTTTGAGTTAATGGGTTGGTTAAAGTTTTAATTTTTTTTTTATATTTGTCGAATTAAAATTTCACGTTTTGGTTATATGGGGGGTTTGGGGATGAACTCAAAGAACAGTCTTTTAACTGTGGCGGTATTACAAATCAATCGACCTCAGCTAAGCGGATAAATTAAGACCGTGTTTATGGGTTATTGGCTTAAGATACCGTTACATAATATTCGGGTGTAGATAGAAGCTAGTTGTGAAAACTGAGTGTGCAAAGTTTTGAATTTGAAGGTGATATTTCACTCTCTGAGTTTGATTTTCATGTTTTGAGTTGGGTTTATTTTTTTTCAAATTTTGTTTCTGCTGTTGTTTGAGTTAATGGGTTAGTTAAAGTTTTAATTTTTCGAATTAAAATTTCGTTTTTTTTGGTTACTGGGGTTTTCGGTGAACTCAAAGAACTCTCTTTTAACTGTGACGGTATTATAAATCAATCGCCTTCAGCTAAGCAGACAAGTTAAGATGTGTTTATGCGTGATTGGCTTAAGATACCGCTAGTTGTGAAAACTGAGTGTGCAAAGTTTTGAATTTGAAGGTGAGAAAAGTGGGAAGAAATGACGAAGCAGCAGACGACACACTGGTGGTTGTACGACAGTCACAGCATCTCCAAACGCTCCCCATGGCTTCAAACCACTCTCTCTGGTACCTATTTTTATCCCTACTTTTCCTTTTTGCTTTTTCTAGATCGAGATTTGGGGGTTCTTTTAGATGTTACTGTACTATTTGTGACCGTTGACACAGTTCTAAACTCCTCGAATTTGAAATTCTGATTGGTTAGTTTTATAATAATTGAGGTGGGGAAGTGGGGGGACCCTATAAAGTTTGAAACTTTTTTGTGAGATTTGAGTGAGGAAAGTTGGGAAAAATGGTAGGTGAGATTGGAAATTGATTACCCAATTGGGGTTTTTTCAAAACAAAACATGTGGGTTTGTTCTCCTTCATTTCTGCTATCGAATCAAATGAATTGAAGAATATCAAAGAAAAAAAATTAACAGGGAATGAATGAGATTTGAGTGAGGAAAGTTGGGAAAAATGGTAGGTGAGATTGGAAATTGATTACCCAATTGGGGTTTTTTCAAAACAAAACATGTGGGTTTGTTCTCCTTCATTTCTGCTACCAATTTGAGAAATTTGATGCTAAGATTCATGGACCAGCTTATTGAAATTGTTTACTCCTTTCCCAATTAAAAAAATAAAATAAAAGAAATTGAAAGTGCACAGGATGGTGGTATCCATAGACTCCTTTTTACCTTACATGCACCTTTCCCAATTTTTGGCTATCGAATCGAATGAATTGAAGAATATCAAAGAAAAAATTAACAGGGAATGAATGGGAATTAAAAATAAGTGCGTAAATAGCACCACCCTTGTGCATCTGAATCCAAAAAGGTGACTTTTGCAATTTTGTTTTGTCCCTTAATTTTATGTCTTTAACTCTTTATTTTTTGTGTTTCTTGGATCAAACAACTTGTGTGCCGACCTATGTTTATGATATCTCCTTTAGTAAACTATTATTTTTTGAACTTATCGACAAGTTGTTTAACCTCAAACTAGGTTTTGTAAGATAAACTCTGCCATTGACAAACATTCTGATTTCATACAGAATAATGTAACCGCTCTAGTTTCTTACACCGTGACCCGATCTAGGAAGAGAGGTGTATGAAACGGGCGCAGGAAATTTCTCGGGTGGAGGGATCCTACACATGACAGAATCGTAGACTAGGAACTAGAAACACTGAAATTATTAGCGTCATGTAACGGTGACAACAAAAAAATTGCTCTAGGGTGAAGGGATCCTACACATGACAAAATCGTAGACTAAGAACTAGAAACACTGAAATTAATAACGTCACGTAACGGTGACAACAAAAAAATTGCTCTAGGTGGAGGGGTACCCCATTTACAAATGATGGAATGGTTGACTGGGGGGAACTAGATGAGATAAGGGTGGGGAAATTAACCCTGGAGGATGTACTATATCTTATCATCTTTTTTTTTTTCTTTTGGTAACTATCTTATCTTATCATCATGTGGCTCTAGTTCTTAGGTCATATGTAAAGTCAGAGTTTTGATGATTAGATACAGTGCAGTAGTGGATTCTAATTGTGGTCCTCAGTGCTGTTACTGTGCTCCACAGAAAATTGTTGGACTTCTGTTTTTTCTATTTGCCTTTCAGGATTGATATTTCTCTGTAGACTTTATGTGCTGTGGTTATGTTTGTGGCCTCATCATGTTTTGGACTCACTTGAATCTAGTTATTTCCAAAAGAACCTTATTAGGCACATAAACATCTTCCATTTTTTTTTTAACACAACCTGTTTGGTAGTGCTTTTAAAATAACTGAAAACGTTTTTAGAAAAAATGTTTAGGGTTCCGTAAGTTAAGTGCTTTTTCATAATTCACTTGCCCTTTTACCAAGGACTGATTCCAAAAACATTTTCACCAAAAACGCTTTCAGTCATTTAAAAAACACTCCAAATGAGCCATATGTTGTATCTTAAACTATCCTAGTTTAAGGGGAGAGAAGGTCCAAACTTGGGTACAATAGAGGGCACACCGTCTTAACTAACTAACCTAACACACATATGCGGCACCTAATGTAAATCTATCAATGTACCCACATAATTCTAAGTGAAATTGTATCATTTACCAATTTGTTCATGTGAACTATTCACTTCACCAGATGATGTTTTCTTTAGGGGAAAATTGCTGGATGTTTATTTTTTTTCAATGGCAGAGCTGGAGCACAAGACGGATGCCATGCTAAAGCTGATTCAGGAAGATGCAGATTCATTTGCTCAACGTGCAGAGATGTATTACAAAAAGCGGCCGCAGCTGATCAGCATGGTGGAAGAATTTTACCGCATTCACCGTTCGTTGGCTGAGCGGTATGATCAAGTGAAGTCTGATACGGGAACACGTCTGCTGACAACGTTAGGGTCTCCATTCTCTTCAACGAAATGCCAGTCTGAGAAGGCGATGAGTGTGGTGGATTTGAGCTTCGATAGCCACTCCGAAACCTGCTGCGATGAACCTGAGGAGAGTATTCCGAGTCTGATGTTGATGATCCTGAACCGGAGGATGAACCCCGAGTTGATGAAGAAACAAAAGAGAATGCATTGAGCAGGATTAGCGAAGACGAGGTGAGGAAATTGAAGGAAGCAATAGCGAGGCTCGAGGAAGAGAACAGAACTCAGAAAGATGAACTGAAGCAGAAAGATGAAGAAAAGAGAGAGGCCATGAGACAGTTGAGTTCAGCTGTGGATTCGCTCAAAGAGTATTCCGATTCTGAAGTTGATGATCCTGAACCAGAGGATGAACCCCGAGTTGATGAGGAAACAAAAGAGAACGCATTGAGCATGTTTAGCGAAGACGAGGTTAGGAAATTGAGGGAAGCAATAGCAAGGCTCGAGGAAGAGAACAGAACTCAGAAGGATGAACTGAAGCAGAAAGATGAAGAGAAGAGAGAGGTCATAAGACAGCTGAGTTTAGCTGTGGATTGGCTCAAAGAGGAGAATGTGGAGCTGAGAAAGAAGTGTTTCGCCAGAGAATCGCCAAATACTTCGAGTCCTGCCGGAGAACCACCGAATAATTCGAGTCCTTTCGAGTTCAACAGGTTCACCGGGACATTTTTGAGGAAGCTGTTTAACAGGTCTCCAAGGTCTCATGGAACAATTGTTGCACTCTAGATGTTTGTGTGTTTACATGTTTGCAGTTTGTATAATTTGTAGTACACAGTTTAGGTAGATGTGTCGATATGATGGGGCATTTCCTCTCTAATTTAATCCAATTAGGAACTCTCTCAAGTGTTTTCTTTGTATTAGTTCTTACATTCATGTGGTGTTCTTGTGTTAATTTCATTGCCTGTAACTGAATTATTGTCATTATATATGGAACAACTCGCAAATATCACTATTACGGTAGTAATTTTTCCCAGAGAAATGTTAAGGGGAGTTAAAAGCCGAACTCTTCATGGACTATCTCCTACATCATTTATTTAACACGCTGGTTTATAATATATTGACGTTAAACTTTGAGATGACAAAGAATTTATCAAGAATCTCACTTTGAAAGAATCATTTTAGCATCTCTCTTTTCCCAAATAGCACTACTTACTGTAGTAGATCGACAATACCGACAATATAAATAACATATTGACACTTTATTTATGCAATATCAAGGCTATCAACATATCTTTGACAACATTCAGTATAACGAGACTGTTTAATGCAATGATTAGGGAATATTTACCGCAATGATTAGGGAATTGATTTTTCCACACTTGTTTTCGAGAACGGATCAACTCCAAAGCTAAGCAGCCGGAGCCTCCTCATCAAACAATCTGTACCGCATAAATTGAATTCAACGGTTTCTATTAATTCATTTTCCTGGCACACAACCGACGGTCCTGATTGACTTGCACATCAATCAGCGGCCTAGATTGTTTGATGAGGAGGATCCGGCTGCTTAGCTTCGAAGAGGATCCGTTCTCCTTCTTTTCTACTCGTCTTTATTTTTGTCATTTAAATTAAATAAATAAAAGAAAATTAAGAGATTTAAATAATAAAATGTGCATGCATAAGAAAAAAAAGAGGTGTGAGGAAATCATTTTTCTCAATGATAGTGCTGCTTAAGAACGATAATTAACAGTACGATTTGAAAAGTAATTATGCTTTGAGAGGGAGGTAAAGAGGCAGAGAATGGAGAGATTTCAATGTACCCGGAATACGAGACGGTACGTCATATGTTATTATACAAGTGGAATAAAGTTTTTTTATGTATCTCTTCACTTGTTTAATGACACATGATGTATGTGCTCGTGTTCTGAGCACACTAAAAAACTCTCCAAAGAATGACATGAATCTTGAGAATACATGACCAAAATTACAACTTTTATTTTTCAAACACTCTTTTGGATACAATACTATCCTAATCACAATCCATATGAAATTAACAATTCCACCAACCTGCATTTACCAAACATCACACTAAATAACTATTAAACTGAAAGAAAAAAAATATAGTTTACAAACATAAAGTGTAAACCACTAGTTACAATAATTGAATTTCCCCACCACCATTTCTCCTTTTTTTTGTTTTCCTCCGCAATCATCACAAGAATCTGCATTACACTTACACACCAGACCAAACCAGCAAGCCAAGAAAAAACATTACATTTATAGGCAGAGATGAAGTGACAGAAACTGCATGGGAAACTGGGAGAGAGCCTGATGGAGCAAGAGCCAGGTCTGGTTGATCAGGAGCAACATCGACGTCCGGGTCCGGCGGACTCTGGCTCGATGGGATAGTGGGGAGAGAAGACTCAGAGGGAGAGAGAGGCACACCACCAGGAGATGGAAACAATGGAGAAATATCAGGAGATGGGGTTGGAGAGGAAGAGAGAGGAGCACCTGGGAGAAATGCAGGTGCGGCTGATATGCTTGAAAACTGTGTTTCTGGTTGGGATTGTAAGGCTAGTGAGGAGTGAGAAGCCATGAAAAGTATGAAGAGTGCCAAGAATGATGACCAAAAGAAAGCCATTAATGAATGTATGATTGATCAAGTTCACAAGAGTAGTATGGAGCTTCAATAAATGTGTGTTTTTGGGGATGAGAGAGAGAGAGAGAGAGGATGGAAAGAAAGAGTAAAGGAGTTGAGGAGAGTGTAAGGCTTAAAAGGGTGTAGTGAGAGAGTGGTGGGGGGGATAGAAATATTATTGTGTGATAATGGAACAAAGTTACATTGTATAACCAATCAACGTCTTAAGTGGTAAAAGAACAATTAACTTATTAGTTGGGTAACTGATTAATTAGTTGGTTATGTTATTTTCACAAATAGTGATATCGTGTGCATTATGAATTTTATTTATATGAGATACAGAAATACAGTAAAATCCGTTCTCTTGTAAGAGTACCTTACCCAAGTTTCTCTTTGAACTATAAGGTTGATATTTTCCAATTTTAGAATGTAACATCAAAATCCGCTGAGATTATAACATGTAAACTGATTATATATACTATGTGATTATACTCCTGTGTTATATAATAATTACATAGTGGGGACAGAACACAAAGTGCCAAATATAATTGAAAGCTGGCTTTGGTATTACAGATCTGTATGTTTTGCTAAGGGACAAGCTTTATTTTTTATGGGAACTTTAACGAAAAGTACTCGGTACCGTTCACTTTAACGAAAAACCACATTTTTACACTAAAAAGTCAATCATGGTACTATTCACTTTACCCTTTATTTTGTCTTTATCATTAAAACTCAAAGTTTTCAAACCCTTTTCATTAGTTTTCCTTATTTTTTATTATCTCTGTACAGCATGAGGGTGAGGTGTCCATCTTTTTTGCCATTAAAATCTGCAGCCTGAGTCCGTGGATCTACTATTAGGGTTTTAAACCTTGTAACGTAGACTTTGCAGCAGTAACTGAATGACAGTTTTCATAATTGCATGCTACGTTGGTAACTTGTGATGACTACAAACGAGCAAGTTCATACTCCTTGTTTATTGGTTTTTCGAATATTGCAAATTGCAATCCAACACATATACGTATCATTCATATTTACTTGTATATTACAGTCTGATACATAAACGAAAGTTACTTATTATAACAATAATCAAGCTATATCTCATTAAATGTGATCGGTTGTATGAATCTTAAAACATTACTACGTTTAGTTTTGCACCAAGTTTTTTGCTAGCTCCAACTACTCTATATCATTTCTTAAAATCTCTTTCTAAGTCTTTCCCTACCTCTTTTGCCTTGACCCTCATTCTCATAGTCAGATTTTCTAACCGGCGCATCTGCAAGTCTTTGATTCACGTGTCCAAAACACCTCTATCCCTTTTGCAATCCGACACAAACACCTTTATATCACTGATGCTTACTTGTATGTTACAATGTGATGCATGAACGGAAATTACTTGTTACAAACCACAAAAAGAAAAGTTTCGCGTGTCAAACTTCGATTTCTTACTAAGGGGTCAGCTAATGATCAAACAATGATGACCGATTGTGATTCTGATTCCATTCCAATTGTTGTTCTGGGTCGAAGTCTCTGGGTTTGTTGTGTATAATATTCTGATCATGGATCTGCTTTTCTGGCCATTAAGCATGTTTTTATCCCGGTAGCAGGTAGAATATTAGATATAATAATTGGTTTATTGATGATGAAGAAAGAGTGAGCATGTGTGTAGAAAGTAGACTAATGGGCTGTGGTATTTTGGAAACATATTGACAGACAGCTTAGCAGATCATGTGGTTTCTCTTTGTTTGCACCCTTTTTAAAAGGGTTTTTGCTCATAGCCCTCGAGTCTTATTATTTGTTATTTTTGGATAAATTTAAATTTTAAGATTTGTGTCTGTCCACTACAGAGATTTCAAAATTTAAACTGATCAAACGGTGATAAATAAGATAGTGAACATCACCGTCACTTGAAAATGGTGAGAAAAAATATCCGCCTTCTTGAAAGTGCAGCTTCCTTTTGTTGTTCGATTAATATCTGTACGTTGTGGTACCAGTGATAATTTCAAATACGGCATATATGTAACACGATTTGAATAAAATATATACAACTAAATCTCAATAGGTAATATGAGTTATTAAATTATTATTTTACATCATTTTGCATTTACCTCTAGGTCTATGAATTAGTTATAGGGAAATGAGAAATGCTAAGGGGTACTATCTTAAAAGTGAGACTCTCTAACACCTTATAGTTAAACGTCAATTCCTGTCTAACATTATAAAACATTTGCCAAAAACATAGGCAATCTCACTTTTACATGGACTTAACTATTAATATTATACTGTAAGTTCATGTCATATCAAACACAGACTACTTATGTAATACATGCAAATTAGTGACACCATGTGGTAATTTAACTGTCATACTAAAAAATATTTGATCAAACAATGTCGTAAAGATATCAAAAGCAACAACTGCGTGGAAATATAAATATATATATATATATGTAAATTTAGAAGCCCTGCATCAAATGTTGAGATGGCCGAGTTGGTCTAAGGCGCCAGATTAAGGTTCTGGTCCGAAAGGGCGTGGGTTCAAATCCCACTCTCAACATTCTGTTTTTCATTTTTTTCCCTTCTTTTTGGAGGTTGCGGGAGTCGGGAGAAATGTCTATCGTCTGCAGCATTACCTTACTTTGCACTGTACTAAAATAATGCTGAAAAACCAGCATCACAATATTTATACTGGGACATCATTTTTTGATTGAATTGAATTTCAAAATATATAATAAATGGCATTTCATTATCTTTATTACAGTAAATAATTCAATTACAAGAAATATTTGCCACTCTAACTGAAGCAACAACTTATGGATACAAACTATCAAAAATGTCACACTTGCTAAGAAATTACAAAAACGAACACCTTGTAACGGCTGCGCCGCCGCGGCAGAAGCCAATCGATAAATAGTCGTTGGCCGGCGAATCATAACCACCATCTTTCTAGTTTTCTACTGATAGCTTCTGCTTCTCCAAGATGTAAGCAATGATAATTTATGCCCAAATAATTCCATCGAACCCGATTTCCAAATTTGAAACTGGACTGTCGCCAATATCCTGATCAACTGCTTGGTTGTCCCCAAGCGAATCCACGTAGGGCTCCGACAGATCGGAAGATCTTTCGGATGGAATCCCATAGTCTTTGAGAATGCAGGATGATGCAGCAAGAGCTGCTTCCCTTTCCAAAACGGTTATGTAGTTGTCTTCAAACTCGAAGACTAAGTACTTGTCCTTGCATGCTGATTGAGAGCACAGAAAAACCGTGAGCACTGGAGTGGGGCGATAGAGTGAAGAGGAAGTATTTGAAGGGACATTACGACTTACAATCTACGAGGTAGGCCAAATGATGAATGTTCCTTATTTGAGTTCCGTTTAACTTCAAAACCTGAGATCAATTTCTTCTGTTAGTTTGGGCAGCGTTGGCGGAGAGATGTAAAAGTTGTGTAGTACAAGTAACTTACCTGCTGATTGCTCATGTCTTCGTACCCAATGTTTACTTCATTTGCCAAGACCTATCGGCGCGAAAGACATGAGAACAGAAATTCCAATAACATACAGAGAAACGACAACACAAACTCCACATTGACGCACATTGCTCAGGGAAAATCTACGCGACTAACCTGTGATAGGATTACAATCTGTTCCCCTTTGAATCTAGCCAAAGAGTAGCGCGCCTTTGCCAAGAGTTTAAGCTGACCAGAAAGGAAACCAAAAACTAATCAATTTTCAAACCAAAAGCGGCATACTGGTTAGCAAACGAAAAGGAAATAGCTAAACGTGAATTTTGTGCTTAAGAGCGTGTGGAAACTTACCCCTATAGAGTCTTCACACTCCTCACTGCAGAAAGAAACATAAGAAATGGTGAGTTTATAATTAACACAAGAGGTTAATAGTAAAAAGATAATTGCACATGTTTCTGAGTGACAGAAACGAGCACGACTTACTCTATCAGTGGTTCTGAGAGGGGGGTAAACACCAAACCGGCAATTATTAAGTAAGAAGGCTGACCTCCGTCGATATGAAAGGGAACCTTATCGGAAGACAAAGAACTCGAAAGAATCAGTATCAAGATATTTAAATAAATTATGGGACTGATGATAATTACTTCATGGCATCGCAAAAAGCTCCGAATTTCTACTTACCAAATGCACTCGTGGGTGCAAAACTGCTTTAACTTTCATATATTCTCCAGCTCTAATAATACCAATATCTGCAACATCGCCCGCAAATCTGTATAGGAGCACTGTTAACCCATATTTGAACAAATTGTAACATGAACGCAATTACTGAAACAATCAGAAAGTAAAAACAAATGCAGTGTTTAACTGAATTTCTTGTATAAGAACCAGGGATTTACTTTTGGCTAATGAGGTAGCGGAATGCGATGCGCTCATTTGATCGAAAGGGTACTGTTCCTTCACACCCTACATGAACATCATCAAAGCTTACAATGACGTCCCCCTGAAAAAACACAGGAACCATCAAAGTTCGTATAAAAGATTCAAAGTTGTTCAGTGTGCTTTAAATTCCAATAAATTTATAGTGAAACGACAGACTCTAGTAGTAGCAAATGTGGCTAAGTTAACTCCAACTTCTCATACATCATTAGCTTTTGACTCCTCAAAACTAGCTTAAGAACCTTTCCCATTCAACACATGCGATTGTTGTTACTTTATTTCTGGTTCTAATAGTTTTTCACATCATATTTCCGCTCCCGTTTCATCGTTTATCTCGAAGATATGTGAAAATATGATACTGCTAAAACCTAATGGTAACACAAGCTGTAGCTTAGAAGCACCAAAAAGTTGCTTAACCATTCCATTGTGGACTGTTTAACAAGTAGAGTTACAAACAGCTACAGCAATCACTCAAGAATTCAAATAGCCAACATACCTCCTTTAATACATTATGTGCATCAGAAGTGGGTTCAACTCTTCGGACCAGTACACCCTGCACAAAACAGATGTGATGAGGACAAGCCTAAGAAAAATCAATAGCTACTAAGCCATCGTTATAATAACGTGTTGAAACATGGCCTGATAGTATATTCTAGTTTCTACTTGAGTAAAATCCTGCATGCTTTACATGGTCCTCATGTGCCCTTGACTGAAAGCCTTTGCAAT